TTGCAGCCTATCAGTACTTAAAGGGGGCTTATAAAAAAGATGGGGACAAACTTTTTAGCAGGGCCTGTTGCGAGAGGACAAGGGGGAATGGCTTTAAACTAAAGGGGGGTAGATTTAGACTAGATCGAAGGAAGAAATTGTTTACGCTGAGGGTGGTGAAACACTGGCACAGGTTTCCCAGATTGGTGGTGGATGCCCCATCCCTGAAAACATTCCAGGTCAGGTTGGACGGGGCTCTAGATGACCTTTAGAGGTCCCTTCCAACCCAAACTATTCTATGATTCTATGAAAAACTTGCAGCAATTTAACTCTTCCATCAAGCATATTTGCCAATGATTTTTTGCAGTATTCAAACATAAAGGATTTTATTTCACTCTCTGCTGACAATCATCCTTTCAAAATGCATTAGTACTGTGTACAGTTCTTAAGCTTTTTGTAGCTTATATTGGCACTCCATAAACATAAAGCTTAGAGTTTGATTAATTAAATTAAACTCAAAGCGCCCTGATAATTATTTTACCCTCATTTGGGTTGCAAGTTCAGTGATTAAATGTGTGTTCTTGCTGTACTCTTTTTTTCCCTAGTTAGACCATCTGTGCTTAATACAGCCTTCTTATATTTGGCCTCAAGTGGGTAGCTTGCCCTTTTATTTTATTTTCCTATCTGCAATTCCCCTGAAGTGTTCCTGAAGTTTTATGGTATCTTTTCTTTTCTTTGACTTGATGTTGCATGCATAATTACATGCAGCAATTATGATAAATCACTAGTTGACTCAAAGAGGGATTTGAATATTTATGAGATTGTCTAAATAAGCAGTTTCAACAACTGCTACAGCAATATACTTATTTCATTATCAAGTCGTAGATTGAAAAACATTCCTGTTCAGTGAATTGGACTTAAGCACATGCTTAAAACTTCTTGAAGGCTTCCTGAAAGGGAATGAAGTTAAGTGGCTAGATAAATGCTTTCCTGACTCACTTTGTTTAATAATAAGAACCATGATGATCAGTAGAAATCATCACAATAGAATAATGATGAGGTGAATCATAAAAAATTATACTGGTTTCACATAAAGTTAATTTGACCCTTAAATAAAAAATAAATAGGCTGCTAAACACTAAGCATGTATATGTAGATTTTTTATCTTGTCTCATAGGCATTGAAATAAAAATTTCTATTTCTTCAGAATCTGACATTAAAATTGAAGATTCTTCTCATCAATAGAAAAAACCTTTTTACTAGATCTCTCATACATAAACAATATCAAATGAATCACCAACGGATTAGAAAAAGAAAATCCGTTTTTTTAGATCTGTAACTTAGAATCTGACAGGATCATGAAGGCAAGTGCCTTTGTCACTGAATGAAGAAATAACATATCTGGAAATAGTATCTATTAAATAATCAACATACATCCAGTTACCATCCAGATGCATCTGTTGCGGCATTCCTTTTATTCTTTTTTTTTTTTTTTGAAAAGACTGGGACTGGAAAGAGGCAAACTTCTGTGAGTTTATTCTACTGAACATCCATATTAAAAGTTACAGTATTCAGTAGTGAAAAAACTCTTAAAAACCCAGGTTTTACTTTGAACATGCTCTTTAAAAAGATTTTCAAAGGAAAACAAGACACTGAAATCCTTGAGAACTAATACTTCAGCTAGGAATTACATATGCAAAAAGGAACTTAAAACAGGCCAGGTGAAAAATAATTACATATAATTTATTACAAGTATAATGCAAAAATAGTGAAAATCTCCCAAAAATGCCAGAAAACCTTAAAAAAATGTATTTACCATAAATTACAACTATAAGATTAATTTCAGCTGTGAACAGAAAAACAATAATGTCACTATTTATTGGAAATTGTCATCAAGGGGTGACATTTTTTCCATCCTTTTTACAACTTAACTGGGTGTATTTAGAGAACTCTTACATCTTGAGGTAGATATGATTCCAGGGACATAAACATGTGCTCCTCGAAGTACTGCATATCCACAGTGGGCTCCAACAATGACTTCAGATGAATGTTTTTTTAAATCTCGCCTAAAAATACAAAATGTAGTTCAGTTTAAAAAAAAACCAAAAAAAAACCAACCAAAAAAAAAAACAAACACCCCCCAAGTAAACTCTAGTTCACAAATACTGTTTTTGTCACAATATAATAGAAAAAACAGTTAACTATCATGTATTACATTTAAAAGATTTATTTTAGTCCCAGAGGAATCAAAGGGAAGAGCCAGGAAGGAAACCAGTCCTGAAAATAGAGCAGATCCTGACACATTCTGCCACTATTATGGAACCTGACACAGGAATACAAATAAATTATACTGGGATGGAGAAATAATCCTCTATCCCTTCCTAGGACAGATGACTGTAAAGTGATTTTTTATGTTTAAAAACCGCTAAGTACTTCTATAATAAATGTATAACCAGGTGCAAGGAACTTTGCCAGTAAAAATTGTGAAGAAGATAGTTTCTCGAACTTATTAAAGTGTAAACATATTTGAATATAAAAAGAACAGAATGTTCAGAAAAATAGGCTACAAAGAGAATGAATGATTGAAGAATAAATAAAAGCATTAAATGCTATTTTAGAGTGTACAGCATTTACAAACTAGTACTACTCGTTACCAATCTCTACCTAATCATGATATAAACTGAATCTGAAGTATGTTAGTCTTCATTACGAACAAGATACTTTAAATAAAATGTCCATTCAGTGAATTCAATAAAACAATGAAGAAACTCCATATGGGCAGACACAGATGCAACATGGGAAATATCCAAACATATCTTAAGAGTGAAGAACAAATAGTCATTTTGTAGGGGATAAAATTGATTCAGGAATCCTCTCAGCATTATTGATCTAGTCTCCCTACATCTTGCTCTGGACTTGATTCCAGTGGAAGAAAACCCTGCCTGTATTTAGCTAGTTCTATATTCCACCGCAAAAGTTTAGTTCTTCTGTCTGCCACCCAGCTGGCTTTCTGAAGAGGATGTACTTATGTTACGTTTTCCCTATTAAAAGTTAACCTCATAAATAAGGAGAGAACTCTCTCTATGTTTTCTTACATCTTCTAAGGACAAACTCTGACCTGATCAGGATATGGACTGTCCACTAGTTCTTAATATAAATGAAGTTGTGCTTCATTTATAGTGAGTTAGTTATCGTAACTGTTTAACAAGAAATCTATAAGTAAAATATGTGTTATGACATTTTAAGGCTAAAGACTGAAAATGTCAAACCTGGGTCCAATGACAGGAATTATTAAGATGTCCTGGAGTTTCGGGTGCTCAAGAACTGGAACACATAGTCCTTTAAATTGCTGTTTCATTAAAAAACCATAATTATTAAGCAATACTAAAAAACCTAATATTTAATTAGACTGAAAACTATTTTTCCATTCATAATTTATAGCTGCAGAGTACAAAAAACAAATGTAGTGAAAACAGTTAAGAGAGGTTGGGAAATAGTGTGGAGACACTCCATATTAAAAATACTGGTGTAAAAGACTGAACATTTAATAAATTGAGAAATAACAAGGCCACAAAGGGATTCACTGAGAACTGACTTCAGGGAGTGGGACAGTGTTCTGACACTCATAACCCTACCACTGGTTTTTACTTGCTTCTGGAAGAAGATTATGTCAAGTTGTCATCAGATCACAGTAACACCACCAGAGGAGCTTGGGTCTAATCTGTGTTATCTTTTTCATGTTATTAATTATAAACCATTGTTCAACTCTATTCTTGTATTGCCTGACTTACTTAGCATGCCAGGTTGGTAGTACTTTTTATTTTTCTTTTCAGCTTAACTTCGAATGGGTACCGAGAGCTGAGTTGTGCATATAGTTGAAAAAAATGACAGCTTGCCATTTTAAAACTGTTCCTGGACTTTAAAAAGATGATGTCTTCTCACCTGAGCCTTCTAAAATATAACCTTAAAACATGCAAAACCATAAATTAGTTTGCATCTGATAAATAAGTATTTTCTCTTAAGAAAAAAAAACAATCCATGAACATACTTTCGTTAAAAACTGTTATGTAGTTTCCTTTTCTAATATAACCACAATTCAAAGTACAAAAAGTTTATGAAAAGCCAGTCTTAATTCAGTTTTCCGCAAAGCATTTTCCCTTGAAGCAAAATATCATACTGCAATACCCATTTCCAGATTTCTACGATCAAGCTAAAATTAGCGTAACTCATTACCATTCCAGCCAGCAGAATACCGTCAACTGCCTCTGCATCACAGAAATGTCTTGGCTCCTGTCATGCAATAGCTCCCTGTACACCCACTAGCATTAATAATTTACTTAAAGAAGAACTGGATCTTTTTAGACAGAGTGAAGATCTAGGATAGAGTTTCAAAAAAATCTACTTCTTACACATAACGGCTTATGTTTAAGGTTATGACAAATAAATGTTCAATTAAGGTAAGTAAAAATCCAGAAAATTATATGAAGATTAAAAACAGGTTAAAAGAAGAAAATACAGCAGCTGCAGGGCATCACTGGCTCCAGTTTCTAAAACATACAGATTTTCTCACTTTCCTAAACAGTTTGTGCAATGAGACATACAGCCATTCTCCTTTAATCTTAAATAAAAATGTTCTAAACATGCTGAACACAGAATACTGAACTACAGTTTTTATCTCTTTCTACCATCTTCTTTAGACTTTTGATGCCTTTACAGTATTTGCTACAGTAGTACCCCAATCCTATCTAAGGTCTGGATCTGCCATATGAAAAAGAGTTGGTTGTCTTCCCTCTGTTATTGCCTTTCTTGGATGTATTAGATGAGGAATACTGCTAGACAATGAATTTTCATTTAACATTTAATGCTGACAGGAAGTCAATATGATTGCATGATGTTAATACTAGTGGACATGTATTAACTTGAGGAATAGTTTCCAGTAATGAAAAGCTCTCATAATCAGGCAAAAGATGAAATATCCTGTTATTTTTGCTGTAACAAAGAAATTGCACAAACCTTCTGGATCTCTTCAAAGAGCAATTTTTTCACGTGTTTCACTGAGGCCAAGTGGGTATTAACTCTAACAGTTGTGAAACCTGGTGGATGAGATAGATGACTTAACAGAGATTGATATTTACTCTCTGCCTCCTGTGTACCTAAAGCGGTGATAAGCTGAAAGTGAAAGAAGAGATTTTATATTAGAGAGATTCACACAGCAGCCTCTTGCTCAGTGCAAAAAAAGCACTGAATAAACATTCTGTAGAAATGGTTGTGTGGTGTGCAATAGTGAGGAATGTCTATGTCTGGAGGCCTAATTCCAGTGAAATCCTCACAAATTTCTTGAAAAGGACTTGTTGGAAAAACAGTCGTATTAGCAAGGTCATTGTAAACAGGCTGCAGCAAGTACCAGAAGTAACTGCTAGCAAGCTCTGTGATACTCTACAAAGAACAGTCCTAAGGAGATGGCAGATTCAAAACTATGAATTAATAACTCTTATCCTGATATACAAAAACATCATTTTTGTGTCCTTTGCCATTAGGAATTCATAGATTGCCTATAGTATTTTTTGGTTCTACACTGGGGTAAGGGAGTATTTCTTGTCAATATTATGTGGTTAATAAATGGTTAATTTTCTCTGTGATCATTCTTCAGTGGGATCCAAAACTGAAGTCTCAGATTTATTCTAATTTTAGTTTAAATATTTTTATGTTACTTTAAGCCAACAGGGGTAAAGAATAATTTTGTATTTTAAATGGAACTATATAGAAAAATCTGTGTCTAATGTGAAGACAATACCTTATTGTAAGGTATTAAAGTCACACAAAATATTAAATCAAAGGAATATTAACAGTGTTCAATTAGTGAATATTTGTTGATGATTAGTAGAATCTATTTCACATACCTCATTATTTCTGAACACTTTGGTGACATACTCTTCAACTTCACGTTGGAAAGAGATTTTGGGAAAAAAAGACATCTTCCTTTAGTTTTTAAAATCTGCTGGTAAAGAACTGAAATAAGCAAAATATTTTCTTAGCGGTTTTTATCATCTACAAGTTTATAAGTGTAACATAAGATGCACCCACAAACTAAGCTGCAGTTTCTGATTCTTCTGTTTTAATAATGCAATTTTACTGTACTGAAAATTCCAAATATTGCTCAGGATATGACTGTAACACTACTGTTAATTACATTTCAGAATATGTTCATTAACATGTTTAGCATTTGCAATCACCTTACAGTGAGGCTACTGGTTTCCTTGCTGTCACATCCTTCCCAGCCATAACTTCCAAGGCTACTGTATCAGTGTTTGAAATGTGAAGAAAGTGTCACCACCTCTAAATCCTGTCCCGTTAAAGTTCCCCTAGCTATCCTTGGGGAGAACTTGCTGTTTAGTCCTAGAATTCAGTAAATTCACAAAGGCTCCTCACAGAGTTTAGCTTTGACTCTTCTAAGTCCCATCTTTGAAATTCTTATTCTATTACATCAACATATCTGTTCATTTTTAGAGATAATCTTCTAATTTTTCCCTGTCAGATTTCTTTTTCTCAAGCTTAACTTCTCAGGCTTCCTCCATAGTTCAGATTATCCAAACTTTGTAACAGGGGCACATGTGCATGACTGTGGACAATGATTTTTATTTTTTCCATATATACTTAAAAAATTAAAGAAGGACTATAAGTAACAGTTTTCTCTTAAGTCTGTGTTTAATTCACAGTATGAATAGTGAAGCATTAATGCAACAGAAGCTCTGCTGATCCTTACTGAAAATCTTCAAGCTGTCTGGTGGAAGATTACATGGGTAAAAGGTACAGGAAATTTCCAGATGCTGCTTTAATTTCTTCTGCAAAGCCCAGCTATAAAGTCCCTATTGCAGCTCAGCCCTGATGCAGCTTTTATTCTTTGTAATTATTCTCTGTTTATTTTTCTCTGTAGGTAATAAAATACAGTTATCTTCCCATATTGTATCTGCCCACCCCTATATTGCCTGTATTTTGAAAGATTATATCCACTTCAGTCTGAAATGAGACTTCCTAAAAATTTAAGTTTGTTTACACCAACTTAAATGGAGGGAAAGTGAAAACACCCCCCCCCCATTAGTGAGGTTTATTCCACCCATAACAATGAAATTTGAATACTAAACTACTACATTTTCATCGTATTAAGCATACTTGGAGAAAATACATTGGAAAGTTTGGTATTCATTCTATTTGAATAAGAGGCTATTTGTCACTTCTATCATACAAACCCCCTCAAAAATATCTTTTTTTGATATTTCAGATTCAGTTGAAGTTTTAATGCTAGAACAATTTTATCTTTTTTAGACTTTTTGAGCACAGACAAAGGCAATTTTCAGTTTCATGGGTAGGAGTTTCAAAGCCTTATTCCCAACATTAGAAGCCTTTGAAAGAAAGAAACTGTAATGGAATTAATGAACTTCTTTTTAGAATCTAACAAAATGCTCAAAAAAAAATTACCTTGATATTTCTACTAAATCTAATAGTACTACAATAGTTCATACTACAACCGAAATTACCAAAGTTCAGTTTTAACGTTTCAGACAATGTGACATATCATGCCTCTGAGCTGCTGTCCTAGGATGCCTACATTACAGGGGAGGAAAAAAAAAAAAAATCACCAAAAAAACCCCCATATGGCTCACATTTGGGAACTTTTTTCTTCAGAAGCATAAAAAACTAGCATTTAAAAAAATCTCACACTTGTGAATTTTTTAGAGAATCCTGAAAGGAATTAAGCAGGCATTTGAAAACTGGTAGAAATATGTGTTATTTATGAGCCCTGCAAGTGACTTCGGTATTAACATTATGAAGGTATCTTTTTAGGATGTTAAATGGGTATTTCATGATGACTGCAGAATCCCACAGAATGATTGAGGTGATCTCACAATTAAGTTACTTCTTCATGGAAAACCAACCACTGATCTGACAGCACGTTGGCAACAGGACTTGTTTCTACCTCATTTTTAAAATGTGACTGAGTGCTACCATGAAACATGAGCTAGCAGGTGGCCGAAACCAAAAACTCTTGGTCAAAAACTGCACACAAAGGACAGAACTGCAATGAAGATCCCTCAGCGTGTTATAAAAGGGAAGCTAGTCCCATGATACAAATTAACAAGACAACTATGTTAACAAACAATGCAGAATCTTTATGATTTGAAATTTCATACCAAAATGGAAAAGTTATAATGTGTTAAAAACCACTACCCTTTTAAACAGGACGGCAAGTATATTACAATGCCTGCAATACAATGAGGGCCAACAGCAAAACAAGAATAAAAACAAGATTTCACTTCTCCCCGCGTAGACAGGGTAGATGTCAGACAGAAGCATGATGCCACATCTGTGCTTTTAACCACAGTTAATGAACACTTTCAAAAGTCAAAGAACACGTAACAGGAGAAGTTATGACTTGACCCTGGCTGGCTCATAGGGCCTGGTACAAAATGTTACTGCAGAAAAAGCTGCTCTGTCACAGCAACAGTAAGGCATGTGGACTCAACATGTCTTCAAATGACAAATACAAGAAACCCGCTATCATCGTGCTTAGTTCGGGGAGAGGAACAACACACAAATGAAAAGCAATTCCTCGGTTAAAAAGAGAAGTCAAAAGAATAAAACCATTGTAAACAGCCTGGAAATTTTAAAACCACACAACTGGAGGTTCAAAGCACACCCACACAACCTGCAGCTTCAGCGTATGTATGCCCTTTCAGTGCCCATTATCTCAGAAAAGACACAATGTACCTTAGAAAGGTTCAGGGAAAGGTGACCTATAGATGGGGAATGGCTTTCAAATATGGAAAGACTAAACAGTTTGCAATCTTCCAGGCTGGGGAACATAGTTGAGGAGGGACAGGATAAAATTCAGATGCGGCAGGAAGAAAGGCTGATGAGGGGGACTGTCTAGTGCCCCTTCAAACACAAGAGTTAGACTTCAAACAGAACTAGCAGGAGGCAGGTTCAAAACCAAACAGAGGTATTTTTTCCCACAGACCCGCTGTGCGGTACACCTTGTCCCAGGAAAGGCTTGACAGACTTCAGAACAGAGCCCTTGAGGGAGCATCACCCCCCGTTCACCATCTCCTTACGGACGTCCCTGTGCCTCTGTTGGGAGCTGCTGCGGGGGACGCGATGCTGGACCAGGGCTTTGATCTAACTACGCACATAAGCACCGCGAGCTGTCAAACGTAGGCAGCACCCAGAGATGCCTTCAAACCTCCTTTCCCCACCCTTCCCACACGAGGAAAAAGTCAGTCGGCTCATTGCTGTGGGGAGTGGAATTTGGGGCTCCCTCCTTTATTCCCCCATCTGCCCCGTTATTGAAAACACCG